CGCGCCGTGAGTATTGAACTGCAGTCACACGGTATTGTTGAAATTAACGTTCGTTCGTTACAGTGTTGTTTTATATCTACACACACATTACATTACCTTCCCGCGTCACGTTTTCCCCATCTTATATATACCCGCCTACCCCATCTAGCAAATACTAGAGCATTCATGAAAAACAAGATTGTTCTAGAAAATAGAGGGCGCCACACCAGTCACGTGACCTCGATGACGCAACACTATATTGTTACGACAGCGGTGGTCACGTGACCCTAGTAACACGTCATATTCTCGAACGTTCACGTCCCTTCCTGAATTCTAGAGAGGTTACTAGATATGCGATATTCTGTATATATAAGACCGGTAAGAAGTGACAGCAACAATGGAATGTAATGTAAATGAACTGTAGACAGAGATTGACGATTGAGTCGAGCACGTGAGTTATAGCGTTTGTAATAGCGTGACTGTGGAAATTAAGTGTATTGTAAAGTTGTATTTAGAAAGAATAAACTAGTTTTATTTAAGAAAGGACTTGTATCGCTAAAGTTTCTTCGGAAAATTAACTAACAACCAGAGACGTAACAATATTATATTTATAGGTTATAAGTAAAAGTTGACCACTAGGCTATATGTTTTATTTTTAAAACCGAATATAATGTGAACATATAATTATGTGTAGAGGAGAGTATTTAGTTATAGTTTAGATGAAACTTTTCAGATTTTGTTGCGAATAGAGTTAAATATTATTGTATAAATGCATAGAGATCAAATGTTTTTAAACAGTTTCATTTTGTAAACGCTAGTTGCACGTTTTTGGCTTACTCATGACAAAAACTGTGGGTGCTACTGCTAGGTTTCTTTGTCTGACTGAATGAAGTGAATAAATTTTTGCGATAGTAGATACCATTACAAAAGTAGTGAACTAATTAGCTGTTTATGACTTCTTTGTGTTTTGATTATTAGTGTTATTAGACTTAGAAAGTAAATTTTGAGGCAAATATTTTGCATCCTATTACTTGGGCATTTTGGCAATAAATAAAGTTAGATAAAATACTACCTTTACATCCCATATGTTTCGATAAAACGTTTAGAAAAAGCGACCTTTACATTCCAGATATATATAAAATATTTTTATTTTATATTTTAATCAACGTTTTGTCTTTGCACAACAAATTTTGAAAGACAAAATAAAATCTCCAGATATTTCTTGTTTTCCTTTACTACTACTACTAGCCCTGATGAAGCTGCATTAGCCAAACGTTGGCTGAAGAAACTTTATTATCTTTTTGTAACATTGTTGCCAAACTTTTGATGCAATGTTTGTATTCATATATATGCTATCTAGTTTTGAAATTGAAATTTTTGTGTATTGTGATATTAGCATTCAGTTCCCTGAAGCACACGAATTACCATACATTTATTGTTATCTGTTCTACGTATTTGCATCTGTTAACATCATGATGACATTTAAAGCATAAAATATAACTTATAAGCAAAACATATATATATATCAACTGTTTCTATCCTTTTTGGATTAATTCCTGTGTTTTTACAATCAAACCCCTTCAAAGTTACTAAAGTTTTGTATTGATATAGATGTAGGATTTTGTGCTTCTGTTCTGGCTAAGTCAGAAAATTTGTTTTGTTACTAGATATGTTACTGTTAGTACTGTTTTTTATCCTGTAAATAACATTCTTTGATCTAAAAACGTTTTTGTTAGACTGTGCTGAATAGATTGAATCAGAATTACACACTCATGTAAATTTTAATAAATTCAGTTAGACAGTACAACAAAACATATAAGCAAGTAGGCTTCAGTGAAGAAGCCAAAAAGTCAACTTTAACAAAAAGACAACTTTAACTTGGAAACTATACCTCCATAATCGAATTACAAATGATCCTGCCCTGAATAAGTTGAACCTCACAAAAAAAAGCATATTTTTTACTTTCATTGTTTCTTCTTAGCATTTGTCCCAATTACTTGGGGTCAGCTTTTCTGGTCCTTGCCCTCCATTCTTTCCTAGTCTAAGCTGCATTCACAGTACATTTTCTCATGTCCTCTCTTACTATTCCATCCACCTTTTCTTTGGTCCTTTTCCCTTTCCAAATGACCAAACCATCTAAGGCGAGTTTCATCAGCTCCATAATACACATTACCTTTTTACTTTCATTATGAATTGATATTTTGTTTTACTCAAGTCACTATGTGATGAGTGCTGCCATCTATAGAGATGTATATTCACTCATAATGAGTATTCTTCTCGATGTCACAAGAACATGTAGGGTCAAAAAATCTTAATGTGAAACAATAAAAACCCTCACAAGGATTTTATCATTTTATATTAAGTATTCTTCTCAATATTTTGATGGGTTTTTGAGTGTGAGTGACCTCTGTTCTTAAGTTTTGTCACACATTGAATCGTTAGTTCATCAAGTGCTGTATAGTTTTTTATTGTAGTTCTTACAAATCTTCTCATTGGTTCATAAAATGCTGTAGTTTTTTATTGTAGATCTATCAGATCTCACTGGTTCATAATATGCTGTATAGTTTTTATTGTAGATATAACAGATCCTCTCATTGGTTCATAAAATGCTGTATAGTTTTTATTTTAGTTCTTACAAAACTTCTCATTAGTTCATAAAATGCTGTATTGGGGTATGGGAAGGCAAAAAAAAGTTCCTATGTTCTGGAAGTTGATCAATGAATTTTGTAATTGCAAACGGAATAAGATTATAAGGAAAATGATAAAATATAGGAAACACACCTTTGAACTAATGTGGTAAACTATCCCAAGGTAATACATCAATTAACTAATCTATAACCAGATTCTTTAGATGTAACGAGTGCCAAATCAATTCACAAAAACTTATGTCAACTTAAAAAATCAAAGGGAGAAACTAGCTTTCTAGAAAAGATTCAGAAGGTTGAAGATTTCCACATTCAATGAGTTAGTAAATAAAAATCTATACTGTATTTTTTTCTACAAATGAGGCATAACTGGCCAAATCATTTAAACACTGAAACCTTGCAGATTAAATACACATCTTGTGTCAGTACAGAACACATTATTCTGGTAGCTACACTAGAAGTTTTGTAACAACTAAAATAAAAACTATACAGCATTTTATGAACCAATGAGGAGTTTGTGAGAACTACAATAAAAAAACTATACAGCATTTTATGGACCAATGAGGAGTTTGTGAGAACTACAATAAAAAAACTATACAGCATTTTATGGACCAATGAGAAGATCTACAATAAAAACTATACAGCATTTTATGGACCAATGAGAAGATCTACAATAAAAATTATACAGCATTTTATGAACCAATGAGAAGAACTACAATAAAAATTATACAGCATTTTATGAACCAATGAGAAGATTTACAATAAAAATTATACAGCATTTTATGAATGTTGTATGTTTATTTTTCTTACACTTTAAGTTTCACCTTCTTCTCCATCATAATTTCAAGAGTTTCACTTAAAAACTCTTATCCCCCCCCCACTCCATTCTGTTCTTTTTTTCAATCATATGTCCACAAATTTTTTGCCAAGTAGTTCTTTGAGCTTTTGCATAGGTGGTTTGGTTTCCTGGGGTACTAAGTATGGACAAGTCCAACATAGACTGAATAATTTCTGTGTCTCAAAAGAATACCACCATACCTCGTCATAATATACTCAATTAATTATAATGTCTACTCATTATACTGTAGCCACGAAGTATTTGTGGGTGAAATAAATTTTCAAACAAGTATTAGATACGTAAATCCACAAAAACAGCAGTGCGTGCCCAGGAACTTATGAAGATTTTTGTGAGAGATTATTTGAGTCTGAACAAACCCAGAATAAATATCCATGTTAGTCCGTACGTTTATTATCGTGAGAGTAAAGATTGTTTTTCTCTAACGTTTTTTTAAAAACGTTCATTTGTAAATGAAATATTGGCAAGTACATTGTATTGTTTTATGTATTGGTAGTTGTTTCTGACAATATTCAAGTTTGGTTTTAACATTTGTGTACCTTACAGACTTTTTAATATTAACAAGTGAAGTATACTTCGACTTCATTCTGTGCTTGTAATGTGAAACATTTTTAGTATTTCTGCTGTTTATTCAGAGATGCCAAACATTATTGATGAAAATTATAAAAGCTAACCTTAAAGAATTGAAATCTGAGTAGAAATATAGGAATCATTTAATTTTTGCTGTCTCTTTCCTACTGAGATAATTTAATGCTGGATGGTAGTGTGTTCAGACTTAAAGTTTTGCCACACCCATTCTTGGTAAGGGTTCCATATAAGTTCATCATTTGTAATTTTAGTGCTTGTTTTTATTTCTTATTTTTACCTTTATTTTACTTTATAGGTATTGTGTAAGTAGTAATCTTACTCATGATTTTTTGTGTATTTCTTTTCAATTTCTTTGTTGTGAAAATGGTGTCCCAATATGGAGCTCTACTTTCCTCCATGTGTTTTTTATATGCATTCTTGACTTTTCTATCCAATTTCTTTGTTGTGAGGGTGATGTCCTAATACAGAGCTCTTTCCCCATATTTTTTGATATTCATTCTTGACATGATGGCTTTTGTTTTGACATATTTCCAAAAAAACTAATATATCTGTCCTAACTTCTAAATGGGATAACTATCAATACGATTAATAAAATTGACCAATATTTTATTTCATCCCCACAATAAGTTTACTGGATCATGTTATACCAAACCTGCAACATATATAATAATAATAAATGAAAAGGAATTTAGAGGTATGGTCATAATGTGATGTTAAAACTTGGAATTATTCCATCAAAACTGGAATGGAATTTTATTTAGATGTTGAAAGAAATCCATAAATAATAATTATAAAATTTAATTAAATAAATTATATATATAACCTTTTTGTTAAACATACAGTGCCTTCTTTAATCGCTAAGAATAACTCCACAAGAAAATGTAAAATATGTACTAATCAAAAAGAATGAATTGTCAAAACCTGAGAGACAATAATAACATCTTGTTTATGCTGAAAGTTAAAACAAAAAACCCACATGTGAGGTCAGAACCTTTAAAAAATATGTATATTAAGAATGTTCTCTTTCAAACTGTTGAAAGCCTTCTTCTAAGGCTTTCTTGGTCAAGCCTTTGGATACAAAGATGCTGGTCACTCCTGAAATTAAGAAGAAGAACTGGAGTCACAAAGATGAAGCTAATCAACTGGATAACAATAACATTCAAAATAATAAATCAGTCAAATATTAGTTTTGGACTAATCAGTTGGCCAACCATTACATTCAAAATACTCACTCAAACATCACATTCAAATGAATTAATTGAACAGCTATTACATTTAGAATAATCAGTCAAACATAGAGGTTCAGTCTAATCTTACAGTAAATGCCTAATCCAGAATAAATAAGCACTCAATGTTAAGTCTCTTGCGAAATGCAGCACCATAAATGATGGGATTTCACAAGCTGCTACAGTACCTTTCTGTGGGCATTTATGGGACCAAAGTGAAGAATTAATTGCCTTCTTTGTTGCTAACATTGACAACAGAATAAAGAAGAGGATGGTGGAAAACAAGTAAATGATGCCATCAAGTGAAACTGAACTTGGAAGATTTTGTGACAGCCAATTTCTAGACATTCTTCGTAATTTCCTGACACCGGTTGACCCAAATTATTGGAAACAAAATGAAGAATTTCAATGTGCCAAACAGCTTGCTGAAAACCTCAAGGTAGTAAATGAATCAGGTGACGTAGAATTTAAGCTCATACAAGATTTCAACTGCTCCATCACCAAAAATGAAGAGCAAAAGCAATACCTGCTGTAAGTTGTCACAGAGCACCGGAAAACATTTCCAGATGCTAAAAAAATGCTACTAGTCGGAGAAAGTTCAATGAAAGGTTTCTAAAACTAAATTCTATATTCAATTAAAAAAATAAGAACTTGTTTAATATTTCTCATGATCTGGTATTTGTATTTACCTTAATATTTAGTGTGAATAAAGATTCAGTGTATTTCAGGATGATTTTATTTATTTGTTTACCATGACCTTTTATACTTACATATAGATATAAATAATAGCATCGAGCAACCAATGAAGGTGAAATCTTACATACAATGTTGTATTGTAGATTGTAAAAAGGTTATGGAGTATCGTGAAGGAAATTCAAACTTTTGATTTTGAGGACCACCCTAATACATTTATATACTAGTGACAGTACCTGGCTTTGCTCAGGTTATTAGGTTGATATATTCTAGATGACTATGTTATAGATAACTATAGACGCCACTATACGTCACGTTACCTAACCTGTATAAAAGCCAGTGTGGGTCATGTCACACTTGATTTTGAACTTAAATTGTTTCTGAATTAAAGTATTTTCTGATATATCACCAATGGTTTTAATAAAAAACAAACCCCTTTAATGAATGGAGACTAAATTAAGAAATCAACAAATATTTTTCCAGTTTGTAGTGTATATATATCATTCTATACTTTTTATACATAGACTAACAACAAAATTAGGTTATACTTATATTGCTAAGCAATATGACATAAAAGCCATTGCTAGAACACATTGTTACCAGAACATACTGGCTTTTCTATATATTACAAGGTGTTATATCAGGAATCACTTCTTTTCTATGTTGTTTTTCACTAGCTTGCCTGATAAAAAGATGCACACACACTTGGATAAGTAATAATACCCAGGTACAAAATTGCAAGTTTCTAGGTTCTTTCCTCTTGGAGTTATGGTGGTCACATTTCTTTTCTATGTGGTTTTTGCTTGCTTATCTCACAGAAAGATGCACGCACACATGCACGTGGATAAGTAATAATACCCAGGTGCACACCCTCAGGGTCCACTTAGTATGTGTGCAAAATTGCAGGTTTCAAGGTTCTCTCGTCTTGGAGTTATGGTGGTACATTTCTTTTCTATGTGGTTTTTGCTTGCTTACCTCACAAAAATATGCACACACACATGCACGTGAATAAGTAATAATGCCCAGGTGCACACCCTCAGGGTCCACTTAGTATATGTGCAAAATTGCAGGTTTCGAGGTTCTTTCCTCTTGGAGTTATGGTGGTCACACACACACAAACCCATAGACATGTCCTTTTATTACTATAGATATACAAATAATGGTAGGCCTCACTTGGAATATTGGTCTCCTTATTTTAAGAAAGGATGTTGACTTAGTGAAACTAGTTCAGAGAAAGACTACTAAGATGACTGTGAGAATGAAGTGGTTAGTTTATAGGGATAGCTTAAGATCTCATATCTTAAAAGGGGCATCAATGATTTCCAGAAAAATAAAGGGTGGGTTTAAATTTTTACTTCTTTGAAGAGTAGGTAGGTGTGCAAGGACTAGAGTGGTACAATTAACTGGATTATCTATGAGCATCAATTATGTCAAGCAGTATATTGTAAAATAATGGAAATTGATTAATGTAATGAAAATAAGCATCTAATTAAAATTAGTGTTTCTTATAATGAGTGTTTTCAATTATTCTAACCATCCAAGGTATTGAAAAATTGACATTATGATTTCTCCTTATTATTTTCAATTATTTCAAGGTTGTTCAGCTTAATCAATTAGTGTTATGAAAATAATCAACTAATTGAAATTATTATTTTTGATTATTCCAACTATCCAAGTCTCATGTGAGAATAATTAATTAATGAGTCTGACAATTAATTGATTAGCAAGTTTCACTAATAGCCCAGATCTAGAAACAACAGCTTTGTAGGATCATGTGATCCCTCGTGATCTGAATGTTATTTTGTTGCATTAACAAAAATGAAAATGAGCTGAATCTTCTTGGATTTCTAATAATTTAATCATGTGATGAATATAGAGAGGGTACAAAAATACTTACCCAATTTACTTATTTCATATATATTTCTGTGCTCATCGTCAAAGAAAAGCATCTGTGAATATGGAATCCCACTTTTTTCTTGAAACCTGACAATAATGGAAACACAAGTTATTCAGCCTAAACACTATCTAGATTGTTATACTTGTATACGAATATAAGCTTTTAAACACTTTATATACTATTACACACAAATTTATGTATTGTTATTAAACATTATAAAACAACATAAACATTACTTTCATCTTAATCCTACTGGCAAAATTTAAAGCAACTACAGAATTTAGTGAGTTTTACAATTATTGTTATTCAAAACTTCTTGTGTTAATTCATTACTTCATTGACAGAGGACTTCATAAACTAGCTCTACACTGCTTTATGTGATGAAAGTATCAGAATCCTGATCAACACTAAATATGTCGTCTCTCAAGTAAACTGTTTTTTTAATTATTAAACATGAATTTGTCCTTAATGCACTACTTCTCATGTACACACATTAAAGTCTTTATATTTACATTTCCAATCATGTAACCCTTAACAGCATCTAGGCAAAATATTTCACTGGAAAATTTAAGACCAATTTTATTGACTATTTCTGTTTTAAGCTGATTGCATAACTTTCATTAATAAGGGAAAAAAAGTTCATGATTGCTGCATATATTTACCATCAGTAATGTTATCTACCTTTGAACCACATTGTAATGATAAGTAATCCTTTGGTAAAGATTTGTTTTAACTTAAACAAAAGAAGACTTTCTTACTACGCTGTAATATATATACATAAATTTATAAAATTTGGTAATTTATGCTGCAAAATTATCTTCAAAATATCTTATATTACTTTCTCTTGAGTTTAATTATAATGATTAATTTGACGGTATTTAAAAATGATTATGGTAAAAATGTTAATCATTAGCTTGAGATTCAAAATTATAGTTTGGGCAGATATGTTTTATTCCTCAACATCCTTTTTGTTATTGTCTATTTTAAATTCACTAGTATTATTTTAGAAAATACTCTAACTGAACTAGCTCTGAATGGCATTTATAATTAAGTCACTGTTGCCTGGATATAATTATTTCAAGGATAACCTACCTAAGATTTCTAAGTTATATTAAATTGTAATTTTTGCTGAATTATTTTAATAACATATTTGAAACTTTCAGGTAAGATTTTGTTTTCTGATGTTTTATTTCACTCTTAGTAACTTTTTCAAGTACTACTTGAACTCATTTTATTACCTGGTTTAGAAGCTACTGACAATCTAAAACACACCACAGTATTAGTACTAAGGTTCTTATGGTTCAGCAGTGTAGATTTCAAGTACTACTTGATCTCATTTTATTACCTGGTTTAGAAGCTACTGACAATCTAAAACACACCACAGTATTAGTACTGTTACAACAGTGGGGTCACATGACGAGTATTCTAGAAGATTCGCTAGTGTGTTACAACAGCAGGGTCACGTGACGAATATTCTAGAAGATTCGCTAGTGTGTTGCGACAGCGTTGCGTCAAATGACGCTGTTAACACGTGTTGAGAGTCTTAGAAGTTTCTAGAACAGGCAGTATTATAGTATATAAGTGCGCTAGACAGTGAGAGAGACAGACGGAGTCGAAGCAATAGTGGAGACAAAGACAGAGACGTAGCGGAGAGGAAGCAGGCAGAGAGAAAGAAAGACAGCGGTTACTGTCGGCGGGAACTGAGGATAGCAGACACAGAGATCGGAACTATAGTTGGCGGGGACGGACAATTAAGTCTAAGCGCGATAGAAAGTGAGTGAATTGTTGTGAACTATAGTGTGTGTAACTGTGAAAATTAAGTTGTATTGAGGAAGAATAAACAAGTTTTATAAAGAAAGGACTTGTATCTTGTAAGAATTAACAAGCAAACATACAGAGACGTAACAGTACTAAGGTTCTTATGGTTCAGTAAAACTATTGCATATTGATATTCAAGCTAAATTTGTGTTGTACCAAAAACTGCATTATAAAAACATAATTTCATGCCTCAGAAAATGTAAATATGGAGCTTTATTTTCATGTACGTTACTTCATATGTTTTTCTTCCCAACTCTACTGTTTTTCAATAAAATGTCACATCTATCAACTGGTATTATAAAACCAAAGTTGTTATGGACAATGCAGATCATTAGCTGCTAGCTCAGGTTTAGCTAAAGTGTGTGACTAACACAACATAAGGGTGAAGAACGAGTGCTTTGGTCTACTGTAGATTATTCTTGCTTGAAAAACTTCAGTGATTCATCAGACTACTGCCTTAAGAATAGCTGGTGGCCTGTCACCATGATTATTTGTCTTGGACTAAGGGAATAGCACAGATTCTACACTGAATCATTATATTTGGTTTGTTTGTTTAGTTTTGAATTTCACGCAAAGAGCTATCTGCACTAGCCGTCCATAATTAAGCAGTGAAAGACTAGAGGAAAACTAGACATCACCACCCACTGCCAACTCTTGAGCTAATCTTTTACCAACAAATAGTGGGATTGACCATCACATAATAATGCTCCCACAGCTGAAAAGGGAGCATGTTTGGTGGGATGGGGATTGGGACCCATGATCTGCAGATTGCAAGTTGAGAGTCCTATCCACTTGGCCATTCCAGGCCGAATCATTATATTAAAAGCTTGATAATTACATGAAAACAATATGACCATGACACAAGCATTAAACACGATTTTATTTACACAAATGTGTTGTAAAAAATTCATTATTTTTCCTTTTTACAAGAAAGTTAAAGGAAAACAATATGAAAAATTTGAAAACAGCAGCCATGCTTATATTTCAACACATATAGCAGAAGAAAACCTCAGCTAGTTCTGTAAAAATAAATAAGAGAAACAATGGTCATTAAGATAATACTACCAGTGAAAAATGTATTAATGTTGGTAGTCACATGGTTACAAACTTATTAGCTATCAATTTTGTGTTTTCTTCTGAATGAAGGCAATGTTTCTCAACAGTAGTAAGTTTATTACCATAAACAACATTTCTGGTTATTAAAAACGAATTATATATGTTTCATCTATTTAACTTTGATGATGAGGAACTCACTTTGAGACTAATAATGGCTGGAGACGGCTTGAATGGGTAATGAAGAAAACTTTAATATAAGTTTAACATAACAGCAAATGTACAACGTTTCGACAAGGTTTTGTCATCATCAGGTACAAGTTATGTTAAACTTATATTAAAGTTTTTCTTCATTACCCATTCAAGCCGTCTCCAGCCATCTATTTAACTTGCTCTTTATTTCATTTAAATTTCATAGCTCTAAATTTCATGTTATGTTATTTTATTTAAAAATGTCACCTCAACCCTGCAAAATGTTAGTATGATCCCTTCACAAACATTCTGAATTTGGTATTGTACAAAGCTACACAATGGACTGTCTGTACTCTGCCCACCATGGGTCTCTAAACCCAAGTGTTAGTGTCATAAGCTTGCAAACTTATCACTGAGCCACTACTACTTATTGAATGAGTAAATAAGAAAATTACGTTGTCATTACACCATATATCAACATATAAGATTCTTAAATACTTCTGTTTAGTATTAGCTGACACAAAATGTGGTACTGGACTTTAAGTATTTTATTTAATACTTTACTTACAAACTACACTTATACAATATCTTGAATGTAATTTTCAAGTGTTGCCTTGACAAGAGTAGAATATATGGCAGTGTGGTTGTATAAGGTATTCACAAAAAACACCAGTCTTACCTTTCAAAGTGTGTTAATTTGGATCCTGGGTATATCTCTTGGTATGAAAAATATTTCTCCCAGTCTAACATTTTTAGCAGCTGTCGGGCATATGGTGGGCATGCAGTTCTGTAGAAGAGCATTATGTTTTTATAAATGCAATTAATGAAAATACTTATAAGTCAGTTATGTTTTGTATTAAATAACTATAGACTGTATAGAACATTAAGATTTAAAACTTAACAAAATGGTAATACCAAAAAAACATCTTTAATATGGACGTTTCAGAATTTCCTTAAATTCCGTCATCAGCATTAACATCTTAAAAAATTAGTTCATAATATTTGAACTACAAAAACAACATTAAGCAAGTTTTTGTATTCAATTGGACGCTTAAAAAGAACAGATTTAAATGGTAACAATATAATGGAATGTATGATAAAACATGCGGCATACGTATTAATGACAATAGGGAGGAGTTGATGTTATTATTTAGTGATCGTTGAAAATGGAGAGGCTTTCTTTAATAAAGAACTAGTAATCTGTGGTTCTGGAGTTGAGAAGTTTAAAGTTTTCTTGAAGTATGGGTTGTTTGTTATTCCCACTGTACACTTGGATACAAGATTCGAGTGGATTACTTAGCTTATATCAGCTTCTGGCTGAAATTCCCATTTATTTTATTCATTAAAAAACAAAATATAATTGATGGCTCACTTTATATTGTATCACAATATATCTCCTTCCAAAGCTTTGTCTGTTGAGACGTAGGGAGAAGTAATTTCTCCCTAAATTTCCAGTACAGTATAGTCCCTGCTTTATCCACATTGAATACCCACATTTTCCAAAAAATTTTCATCTACAATGTGTGGAATCAGTTTTAAATGCAGGGAAACATCTAAATATGGGTAATAGATGACAATCACAAACTGTAACTGTTCACTTACCGTGATGCAACTCCCATGGGAATCCCTTCATTGGTTAGTCTTTCTAAGATTTTTGGAACATCTGGGTAGAACTTAATCTTATGACCAGAGCGATCAAACACTTTTCCATCACTAGAATCAAAAGATTATTGTAAGTGCATATATATACACAGAATGTTATTACTTAAACCTACATGTTGAACATATAAAGTAGATAATATATTGTTACGCCTATGTTCGTTAGTTAATTTTCTGTAAAAATTCTTTCCAAAGAAACCTTAGCAATACAAGTCCTTTCTTAAATAAAACTGGTTTATTCTTTCTGAATACAACTTTGCAAAACACTTAATTTCCACGGTGACGCTATAAGTTAAACAAACGCTACAATTCACAATGAATGACTCACGCGCTTGACCCAACTGTCCATCTCTATCTATGTCTGCAATTC